CAGGTCCCACCTCTTCAGTTCTGTTTCTGCAGTGATGCTCAGATCTGTCCTCTGTCCTCCACACTAGATCTGAGGTGACCCACATTGGCCTGCCTATCATCTCCCAAACCCATTCCTACCCACTGTTCAATGTCACTGATAGCTCTACTGTCTAATCAATGTGGACCCTTCTCCCTGGGCAACAAGGGGAGTCCTTAGGGAGCTTCCAAGCCTCAAGCGTGAACCTCCCTGATCTCCTTTGTGTCCCTTCTGAACCTGTCATCTCCCCACTGTGCCCCTTGCTGATGAATAAAAGCCCATTGGCTACCACCACCTCTCAGATTTGGCTTCGGACCATGTGGAGGCCACCTGAGCAGCTCTCCTTGAAAGAAAAGCGACAGTTGCCATTTTGACTGAGCCTGACCCTATTTCCTCGTATTGTTCTGACAGAGCTGGCTAGGACTTCTGTTTATCCTTCATTTGACCTTAAACGACACGTATTGGTCTAGCTGAGGTGTTGGTGATAGTCTCTGAGGGTGGCGTGCGTGTTTCCCTGGTAACCTACACCTGCTGCTCTTTAATGTGAGCCGGGTGGAGACAGGACGGTAATGCTCTGTGCCACCTCATGCCTGCGGTGGGACAGAGCCTCGAGATAGAGGCTATGACTTCCTGGGGCTTGAAAGACTACATCAAAGCTGAAGCACCAGACTTACCAAAACATTAGATATTATATAATGCAGATTACTCTCTCTGCAATATCGCAGAGGTAAATTTAGGCTACCCACCTAGCTCAGCTCACAATGATCACCTACTTCCCACAATTCTCAGTCAATCCTCCTCAAGCCACACCCCTACTGAATAAAAACCGGGTGAGGCCCTGGGTTGCTCTCTTGGTTCCAGAAAGCCATCTTCGTGGCTGGACTTAGCCCCTTGACTCCCCGATGATTGAAAATATAATTTAGTGTCTTTATTTTTGCCGTGGGTTGCACTGAAAGTGGTAGATTGGAATCAATTTGATGAGATTCCAATAATGTAACTTTGGAATTACAAATATTGGCTTCTTGGATCAAGACGAGGATCTGGAAGTGTCTCCTACAGGACCACACTCCTCCTTCTACCCTGGCCGCCTGGCTTCAGTCTCCTCCACACAAAAGCTTCCTAAGACCCTGTCCTTCCCTTGCCTACAATGCTCCATGGTTCCCCATTGTTGTATAAAACCCCTCAGCGAGCATTCAGAATCTTCTCTGCTCTGGCCCCTACCAACTTTTCACAAGTCCCAGTTCTTAACACTCCCCTGGAAGCCAGGCCCTTACTCTGGGCTCTACACTGTATCTGCCTTGCTCCACTAACTCAGCCCCTGGGTCTCAGCTCATACACCCTCTCCTCAGAGCCTACTCTGGCTGGGTTGGGCAGCTCCTCTGCATCCCAATACTGTTTGCTCTTCATTCACTCTTGCCTTGGTCATCACAGTCTACCACTGCCCAGGTGTCAGTCATAGCCTGATCACTATGGCCTGTGCACCTCACACCATTTTTAGCCATTCTAGTCCCCCCTTAACTCCATGTGAGATGGAATTATTTCAGACAGCTGGTCATTTCTGCAAAACTTCACTTGTTCCAACATGTATAAAAGCTAGGTAGGTCACGAGATGGAGATGTAAAAGTGACTCCATGATCTCTCCCCAGAACAGCTGGGGTGCACCCCATCAATTTCCTTTCCCCATCAAAGCTGAGGTAGTCGAGCACTCACAGCTCCCAAGACACAGGTGGGTGATATTTACTCAGGGTGCTGAGCTAGGTAATGGCTTCCCCACCTGAGAACTCCAAGACTCCCAGTAGAGCTGACTTTTCCTAGGACTAAAGTTAAATAACACAAAGGACCATGAAATCCTGCTAGAGGAAGGGGGCCACTGTCCTATCCTATGCCCTGAGGATTACTGGAATTCCAGGGCTGAAGAGAACTTTCCTCAGGGCAGGATCTACATCAAAGTGGAGCTTAAGTGATACTCAAAGCCCTGCCCGATACCTCCCACTGGAAAGAGGGAGGAAATGGGCAAAGAGCTGGCCCAATGGACCAAGAAGGGGAGGTGACAGTGATGGTCGAGAGTGGCATCCAGGATATGTCCAAGCAGTTGGACTTAAATACTTTATTTGGCTCTCCACTTTGAGAAGTTAGGCCAGAATTTGATCTGAGGGTCACAGACCTGAGTCAAAACACTGAGAAGCTAAGAATCAAATCTATAGGGCCGGGGAGATGGCTCAGTAGAATAAG